CACCCATCTGGTACACCAAGCAGGTTTAAATAAATACTAATAAGAACTGTGCAAATATTAGTGGATCCAGGTCTGAGCCAAACCACGTGTCCGCTTCTTTGTCATAAGTTTGTGCCGCATACTGGAGACAAAAAAAAACCCACATCATGATCGTTCTGCTTTGGTATTGCATGGACCTCATGTAAGAATAAGCTGTAAAACATGAAGCTGTTCCGGTGTGTGAGCATGAATGAGAGAGAGAAACTGAGACTGAATATGCATACATGCATTGTGTGCATGCATGTATGTATGATTTTATGGTGGTGAAGTAGTTAACAATTAGGGAAGGCCTTCGCGGAGCGGGGATGGTTAGGTTTGCTTTTATATAAAATATTTAATGATTGATAAATGGAAGGATTTTTTTTTGTAAGTCTGTCTTTTAATAGCTGGTCAACAAAGTCTAGTTAGGAACAAAACATTAGGGCACAATGGAATGTATATGGGAAGGTGAGTTTGAAAACAAATACACACCAAGAAGGCAGTTATTCAGTAAAAAAAAAAAAAAAAAACACTCAAACCGATAAAACTTTGAAATCTGTTTTCTCAGACTAGACTGTTTCACTACTTGGCAAATGCAAATCAGAAGGAAGCCTTATTCCCAAAGTCTTGCGCAGAGGTCAAAGCAGAAAGGAGATTTCTTCCAAAGGTCCAGCAGAGTCTGGACTGTGCAACTGGAAAAGAAAAATACAATTTGTTTTATTTAATGGACTCCTGTAAATGGAGAGGGGAGGCCTGTGATGGTATGTCTTCGTGGACTGTGCGAGTTCCCCGTGCATTGGCTTGATTTTGGACCTTATCCTTCAGTTTGTGTCTGTACAGTTGCAGCTGCTACTCCGTTATTGTCGGTCCCCGCCGCCTTCTAAAGTCACATGGTATAACAATTCAGGAAGTAGAATGTACAGGTTGGATTCAGTCATGTGAAATAAACTCTACTTATCCAAGGTGACCCGGTTGAAAAAAAACATACATTTGTCTGGTTAATGTACAGAGCATTAAATCATGTAGTCAATAACAGAAATCATTTGACTGTCATTAGACTGAATGTTGCTTTCAACTGTGTGTCTATCGTATTTTGTTTCTTCATGGTGCCATTACTACGTCAGCCCGTGGTGCACATGGACTAAGGTTATCCCTTGATTTTGTACCTACAGAGTGGATCATGAAGGGTTTTTCATTTCTATCAGCAGTGCTGGTGCTAGTGCTGTCCTTCAAGGAACTCATTCTCAACATCCTTGTGCCATGGTGACATATCATTAATATATCATTAATATTTCAGACCATTCAAACTGGTTTTAATTTGGCTTTAGTGTGGAAATGTGTGCTGTGAAAAAGGTTTACATGCTAGTGTTCAGAGGAGACCATTACATCCACATGTCCAGTGAGCTTATCATGAAGATGGTATTGGTTGTTTCCACACGAGCCCTGTTCTTTTGTCCCACAGTGGTTTGATTGCCACTTGAAGGCAGTGTACCATGTGTTATAACTGAATATCATTGTCCTTAACAGGATGTTTGCTACAGTACAGTATGTAAGTTATTAATGTGCTGATGTGAACATGTGGGGCCAAGTGAAATGAAGAAAAATGGTTGCAGATAGAGTAAATGTGTCCCCTTGCATTTAAACTGAAAACCACAATATAAATGTTCAAACTAGACCTCATTCTGTCTCCGTCCTCATTTGTTCAAATAATTTAGATGAGGGGTAAACGTTTGGTAGATGAACCTTACACTCCCTCTAGTGGTCTTATTCTGCCCTACACTAAGAAAAAAAAATCAGCTTTTGCTCAGCATTCCGGAGCCATTATAGCCAAATAAATAAAATGATGGGGGATTGAACCCTGAAAAAAGTCATGAATTATTAGGTTAAATGTGTTTTCCTTTTGTGGGTCACTGATCTACCAGCAGCTCTTTAAATCTAACTCATTAAATATCGTAAAAAGGGACAAAAACCACAATGTGCAAATTCTTTTTATCAGCCCCTAAATGTCTCCAGAGTGAGCTGAACTTGAGCTGGACTTGTCCCCTCTGAGCCGGACCTCCACTGTCTGCCTCCGGATGGAGCGGCCGCGAAGGAATGGCGGAGGAGGTGAAGAAGGAGCCGGGACTGTTGGAAAGATTGGGGCTCTGGTCAGTTACATAAAAACCATTAGCATCATCTTTATGTTTGAAATAGCCTGTAAATTTTAGGCAGCAGTTTTGTCTGAAGCTCGTCTCAAAGTGTGAAGGAGTTAAACACTTTAGTGACTTATTGTGCTGTACCATCACTAGTTAAAAATTGTGATTACCTCTTTTTGCAAACGGGATATTGAACCGGTGTCTCTCTCTTGAGAACATCTGTGGAATCAAATCCTTCATTATTCACATGCACTTTGCAGTTCAGCTTTATAGAAAGCTTAGCTCTTTTACCTTTTTTATTTTTTACCTTTATGTAGGATATCGGTTTATTTAAGGTTAGTTTGCTGTTTAATGGGAAACTACCTTTTTGTCACCAGCAACTTTTTTCACTTTATTTTTGTTATACCATCTAACTTAACTTGCTATGACTCAAACAGGAAAAGGGAAAATGAGCTTGAGGAATTGTGACAGAACTGTTGCTCTCAGCCACCACCCCTCACCGTTCCTCCCCTCTCCACCCCCCATCACCTGTCTGTGTCCTCACCTCCTCACTGGACTCTGAGCTGGAGCTCCAGTCGTGGCCGCATCTCAGAGAAACAACCTGGGTTGAGGTGGCTGAAATTCGAACCCGACTGAAGCAGGAGAAGGATGGCTAAAGGGAAAGAATAGAAATGGAGAGAGGATGGTGTTTTTCATATTTTATATAATGCAGATATTATTTAGTATTTGTTACAGCTATTTTAGTTTTTTATGATCAAAAGCTGCTGTCTAATGCATCATGGAAAGATAACAAATTTGTTCGATGCACTCTCTCCCACTAAATTCATGCCAACGCAAACAGTGGGCTGCACCAGTTTGTCAACGTGTCTTAAACCAGAATTGAGATTTACGGTGAAATATTGAACAATCAACATAACAGTCCAGCTTTTGACTGTGATAATATGTAACTGATGAGTGGTAACTTGCATAAAAGGAAGTGTTTTATTTCAGATATCATTAAACATTTCAGCTAAGCACAATTTTTTTCTAAGCGTTTTGCTGTATTCTCTTTGTGTTATACCTCAACCATGTGGTGGCAAACTAAATGGACAAAAAAAAAACATAAGATGTAATTCGGGTTAGGTTTTCACCCCTGATGACATTAAACGTCTCACCTCAAAGAAGTCAGGTCTGAAGGCGCATGTCTGGGGGTCGTTTCTGGAAGTCTTTACACACTCAGTCTCTTTAACACAAAATATCATCAGCAGGTCAACGGTGTTCAGGCCCGCGGGGATAACCTGGCATGCATGTGATATTTGTTATAAACACACAAATAACCAATATATGGAAGATGGGTTTAGTCACATTTCTTAGACTAGACCCTCAAACAATCAGAATCAGAATGAGCTTTATTGCCAAGTAGTATTTTACTTGTAGGCTAGAAGGAATTTGCTTTGGTGATAAGGTGCTACACGTAAACAAATACACAGCTGACATAAATAAATGTAAAAATTTATAGATATGGAATAAACAGGTGCAAGTTATAAAAGAATCATAGAACTAAGTGTAGATCATATCATAAAGATTGAAGTATGTGCAGACTCACACTTGTGACAAAGCCCTGAGTCACCCGGTAAAGATGGCTGACGGCATATGCAGAGTTGACCTCTGCCAGAACTGCTCCAAGACCCCATTCTGCCATGGACTCCAGCTCAGTGTTGTGCAGTGGGATTCCTGCAGGGTCAAAGGGCAAAGATGTGAGAGGAAAGTTGGTGACAGTTACTGCATCTACTTATTAAGTGATCAGTACAGAGAGCCACTCACCTGAGCATCCCAGAGACTGCAGCAGAGCTAAGAGAAGCACGTAAGACTTCATCTTGACTAGAACCAAACCAAAGTGTTTCAGTCCTCCTTTTACCTCCCTCTAAATACATTCAGCTTTTGTCCTAGCACACCTATGCACCGCCTCTTACCCTCCATAACACCTAAAAACAAAACTCCCTCCCCTGCTGTCTGTCCAGCTTCCTTCATGCAATAGCTGTTAACCTTTGCTCAGCACTATTGATCCCAGGGTGAATTAAACAAACTCTGTAATAAGAATTTACATCAGATTTCAGTCACAGCCTCTGTCTGAAATACTTTCAAACTTGTTTGATTTTGATGAAGATGTTAAAATGTGATGAGTTCAGTTCATTTAGCAGCTTCTAAAGGCTCTTTAGGCCTTTATTAAAAGAACTCTCAGGCTGCTGATCTCATCACTGCTTAAGCTGCGCAGTCACGTCCTTGCAGTAGCTCACCAAGTTCTTCCCTCAGGTCCGACACAACCTGCATCACAGGTGCCTGTCAAACTCATTGTGACTCACATTGCAGCAAGGACTAAAGTCTTGCACCGAGGTCAAAGCAGAAAGGAGATTTTTTCTAAAGGTCCTTCAGAGTCTGGACTGTGCAACTGGAAAACAACACTTTCTTGTAAATGGAGAGGGGAGGCCTGTGATGGTGTATCTTCGTGGACCATGCGAGTTCCCTTTGCATTGGCTTGATTTTGGACCTTATCTTTCAGTTTGTGTCTGTACAGTTGCAGCTGCAACTCCGTTATTATCGCTCCCTGTGGCCTTCTGAAGTTAGCTGGTATAACAATTCAGGAAGTAAAATGTACAGGTTGGATTCAGTCATGTGAAATATACTCATCTTATCCAAGGTGACCCGGTTGAAAAGATGTACAGCATTACAGATTCAACACTGAACTCCAAAAAGTCATGAATCATTAGGTTAAATGTGTTTTCCTTATGTGGGTCACTGATCTACACGCAGCTCTTTAAAATTTACCAATTAAATAGGCTATCATAAAAAGGGACAAAAACCACAATGTGCAAATTCTGTTTTTTAATTAGTTTTTTCTTTTAAACAGCGCTGAAATGCTTTCAGAGTGAGCTGAACTCTCACACCAGGAAGTTGCTGAAAGCGTCCCCTCTGGGCCGGACCTCCACTGTCTGGCTCTGGAAGGAGCGACCAGGCTGGATGGGTGGAGGAGGTGCAGAAGGAGCCGGGACTGCAGAAAGATATTGGGGCTCTGGTCAGTTACATAAAAACAATTAGCATGATCTTTATTTTTGAAATAGCCTGTAAATTTTAGGCACCAGTTCTGTCTGAAGCTTGTCTCAAAGTGTGAAGGAGTTAAACACTTTAGCGACTTATTGTGCTGTACCATCACTAGTTAAAACATGTGATTACCTCTATTTGCAAACGGGATATTGTACTGGTGTCTCCCTCTTGAGAACATCTGTGGAATCAAAGCCTTCATTATTCACATGCACTTCATTGTTCAGGACACCCTTTATATTGACGATTGCTTAGAGCTTAGCTCTTTTACCTTTATGTAGGATACAGGTTTATTTATTAAGGTTAGTTTGCTGTTTAATGGAAAACGTCCTTTTTATGATGAGCAACTTTTAAAAAAAATTCTGTAGCCGCTACAGTTTGCTTTGACTTGAAAAAGAAAATGGACAATGAGCTTTTGGAATTTTAAATAAATGATAAAGACACCCCCCACCACCACCACCATTTATCCTCCCTCTTCCCCTCTCTACCCCATCACCTGTGTCCTCACCTCCTCACTGGACTCTGAGCTGGAACTCTCGTCATGGCCGCATCTCAGAGAAACAACCTGGGTTGAGGTGGCTGAAATTCGAACCCGACTGAAGCAGGAGAAGGATGGCTGAAGGGAAAGAGTGGAAATGGAGAGAGAATGGTGTTTTTAATATTCTATATAATGCAGATATTATTTAGTATTTGTTATAGCTATTTTAGTTTTTTATGATCAAAATCAACTGTCTCATGTATAGATAACAAATTTTTGACACACTCTCTCCCATTAAATTCATGCCAATGCAAACAGTGGGCTGCATCAGTTTGTCAATATGTGTCTTATCCAAAATTTAGATTTACGGTGAAATATTTAACAATCAACATAACAGTCAGCTTTTGACTGTAATATTATATAACTGGTGAGGGGTAGCTTGCATTAAAGGATTATACAAGTGTTAAAGTCCATTTTCTTTATTTCAGATATCATTAAACATTTCAGGTAGGCACTATTTCTTCTAAGCGTTTTGCTGTAATCTCTTTATGTGTTATACCTCAACCCTTTGGCAGCAAACTAAATGGACTAAAACAAACCATGAAATTATGTAATTCGGGTTATTTTTTTACCCCTTATGACAATAAACGTCTCACCACAAAGAAGCCAGGTCTGAAGGCGCATGTCTGGGGGTCATTTCTGGAAGCCTTTAGACACTCAGTCTCTTTAACGCCAAATTTCATCAGCAGGTCAACGGTGTTCAGGCCCACTGGGATAACCTGGCATGCATGTGATATTTGTTATAAACCCACAAATAACCAATATATGGAATTTGACACTCTGCATAAAGATAACACACCTGCTAATGATAATATCTTAAAGATTGAAGTATTTGCAGACTCACCCTTGAGACAGAGCCTCTAGTCATCCGGTAAAGATGGCTGACGGCATATGCAGAGTTGACCTCTGCCAGAACTGCTCCAAGACCCCTGTCTGCCATGGACTCCAGCTCAGTGTTGTGCAGTGGGATTCCTGCAGGGTCAAACGGCAAAGATGTGAGAGGAAAGTCAGTGACAGTTACTGCATCTATGAAGTGATCAGTACAGAGAGCCACTCACCTGAGCATCCCAGAGACTGCAGCAGGGCCAAGAGAAGCACGTAAGACTTCATCTTGACTAGCACCAAACCAAAGTGTTTCAGTCCTCCTTTTACCTCCCTCTAAATACCTTCAGCTTTGTCCTAGTACCCCTACGCACCGCCTCTTACCCTCCATAACCCCTAAAAACAAACCTCCCTCCCTTGCTGTCTGTCCAGCTTCCTGCACGCAATAGCTGTTAACCTTTGCTCAGTACTATTGATCCCAGGGTGAATTAAACGAACACTGCAATTTACATCAGACTTTCAGTCACAGCCTCTGTCTAAAATACTCTCTAACTTGAAAATGTTCAAATCTGATGAGTTCAGTTAATTTAGCAGTCTCTTTAGGACTTTACATTGTTTTATTTAAATTAAATGAATACAATATGCCTAGAAAATTTGTTTGACTTTTTTTTTTCAGTATCTCACAAAAGTGAGTACACCCCTCACATTTTTGTAAATATTTGATCATATCTTTTCATGTGACACTGAAGAAATGACTCTTTGCTACAATGTAAAGCAGTGAGTGAACAGCTTGTATAGCAGTGTAAATTTGCTGTCCCCTCAAAATAACACATCACACAGCCATTAATGTCTGAACCGCTGGCAACAAAAGTGAGTACACACGAAAATGTCCCAATTAGGCCCAATTCGTCATTTTCACTCCTTGGTGTCATGTGACTCGTGTTACAAGGTCTCAGGTGTGAATGGGGAGCAGGTGTGTTGAATCTGGTGTTATCACTCTCACAAAGTGTCATTTCTTCATTGTTGTCAAAAAAATATATAATCAAATATTTACAAAAATGTGAGAGGTGTACTCACTTTTGTGAGATACTGTATATAACTGAGGTCTTATCACTGGAGGACACTGCGTCACCAGCAACCCAGTTTTTTCTTTTTACTTATGTATCACTTTAACAAACCACTGATTAGTTATTTTGGGTTCCTAATGTTTAAAATGACTGGAGCTGAAATGATAAGTCAGTTAAATGAAATTAATCTGCATCAACACATTGATGATCAATTTTTAAATACGTTTTTGAACAAAAGTATCAAGTTTCAGCTTATTTCAGCTTGTGTGTGAAAAGAATAGAATAAAATCAGCTGCTTTTCACAGTCTTCTAAGATAGTTTACAGACATTTTATAGACCAAACAATTGATCAGTCCAGAAAATAATCTGCAGATGAATTAATAATGACAATAATCATTAGTTGCTTGCAGCCCTTAAATAACTATTTCACTGATGACTATTTTCAGCTGTTTGGGTATGAAATGCCACTGAAGCCAAAAACACACAAAATAAACTGACTCACTTGAAGCAATACATATCTGAGATGTGTTTTTTCATGAAGCAGTTTTGGCATATAGTACATACTGTATATATGTTCTACATTTTGATCATCTGCTCCTTTAGACCAAATCTAGTGAAGCAGAATATGAATAGCTCCTGGGTGCCACTTTTTCCTCTGAAACAGTGTATTACAGTTTATTTACGGTTATCGTGATTCCTTATTTTCCCTTCTGGGGATCAATAAAGGTTTATCTTACTTCACTGCAACAATCCCTTACCACCATCATATCTTTATTACATTCATCATCAATATCAAAAATACTTCACATTTTGGACACATAGAATTATACTTGTAAACAGTAAATCTGTAAATTCTGTTTAGTATCAGCACATTCTATAAAAAAAAAAAAGACTACTTTGTTCCCATTCATCCATTTTTACCATCCTAAATACAGCGCATCTCTTTTTAATTAAACTGACACTAATGACAGAATGCGTTCTGTGAAAAATGTCACAAGAGCTTGAACTGTGATTTCACAAGATATTTACAAATACAACTCAACAGTAAAGCAGAACTACACAATTTGCTGTGGCGGAATTCGCGCCAGCCACAGCTAATGTTTTCAATGTTGCACAGACAGAACTAGATTCTATCGGTACCTGATTTGCATTCACCTTACAAACATGTGTCTGATGTGAGGCCATGCATCTAAACTGTACTCAGACCTTCATAAGAATGGCTGAAAAACTTTCTTGATTTACATTCAGTAAAAAGAAGAAGAGCAGTGTGCTCAAAAAATTTGTTAGCTGAGGTGATAATACATCCCAATTATGAGTTTTCTGATTCCAATGTACACTGCCTCTTTTCTGCTTTTAGGCAACATCCAAGTATGCTATGCTTTGACTGGTGAGCCAACAACTAAGCACAATCTTAGCATGTGTTAGCAATTTCAGCAGACTTATGTGTGAGCATGTGAGGGATCCCTGCTTCAGTTATAACCGGGTTTTCTCACCAGTCCTACAGTGTGAATGCAGCCATTCAAGTGCATTAAAGTAAAGGTGCGCAAAGTGTCAAATAGCTACTATCACGTCAACTACACACACACACACACACACTTCTTCTCATCGCTCGAGTGTTCCCATCAGAGGATCCATAGCAGCAAGGAAGCAGGCTTCAAACTCCTGATCTGAGAAGCGAGCTGCGGACTGACGTGCGTTGCGTCTGATCTGCAGCCGGCTGGCGGACGGCAGCGCCAGAATCCGCTCTATGGCCTCCGCGTAACTGTCCTCGTCATCAGCCAGGAAGCCTGTCTGGCCTCCCTCGAAAGGTACCACAATGTCCAGCTTGGGACCACCGGACTTGTGCGCCAGAATGACCTTCCCTGCTGCCATACACTCCACTACGCCTAGAGGGGGGAAAGAAGAGTGAAGACGAACTTTTAATATAATTAGAAAAAGTCAAATTTAAAAATAAGAGTAAACGTCAGCTCAGACAGATTTATCACCTATTCCAAAGTGTTCGTTCCACATTGTATGTAGTCCGATGGTAGCTTCCCCCATCTCTCTCTTCAGCTCCTCGAAGGATATGTTCAGTTTAAACTCCACCCTGTCGGCCACGCCCAGCTCCTGGCACAGCCCCCTCAACATGAGCACCCTATCCTCGTCTTCCTGATTCCTGCATCCGCCAATCATAACCAGCTTCAGTCCCTCCATGCTCCCGACCCTCTCCCTCCTCTTGTCTAACGCCTTCTTGAAAGCCCTGATCTGCAGACGGTGGTCCTTCTCCGGCCTGAATTGCCCCACAGAAACGATCGAGTGGCATTTCCTGTCCCCGTCCTCCTCCAGTGGGACGTCCAGGAACGCGCTGACGTCGCAGGGTGGGTAGACCACGCTGGTGCGGTTGGGAGCATGCCACAGTGAAAGGATGTGATGGAGGGTCCAGGAGGAGTTGACCATGATAAGGTCGCAGCAGGAGCCGGCCATGCCGTAGAGCAGGGCGAACAGGCAGTAGTAGACCACCTTGAAGGCACTCAGGAACAGACTGTTGGAGACGTAGTCTGGGTTGTTGAACCTAGGGCATTAATGGTTTGTGTTATTCGAGGAGATAGCAAACAAGTGGTTTTTAGTTATAAGCACCCATGAACAGCCGAATAAATTGTAATTGTATATATAATATAATTTAAAAAAGACCTTGTATGATGTGCTCACAACACAGTTTGCTTTGGTAAAGACACACAGTGATTACCTGGGGTTCCTCTCTCTCACTACAGACAGCATGTCAGTGCTGATGGTGGGGTAGTGAACGTAACTCCCCACACTGCAGCCTCCCAAGTAGCGGAACAGGGGCAGCGTGAAGGCGTAGCCCATGGAGTCAATGTAAAGGTCGGGGACAAACTCCGTCAGTGCCTCCCATCCCAGGAAGACGGAGCCCACGCTCTGTCCCAGCAGGGTGAAGTGAGGAAACAGGCCTGGCTCCACAAGCAGCCGGTGCTTCAGGAACACAAACTGAACCGGCCGGGGGAGCACAATGTTGAAACGCCGCCGAGCCCCTTCCAGAATCTGCTGGCCCGTCACACCCAGGTCCCCCGTGTACACCACAAAGTTGATGTCCCTGTACCTGTGCAGATGTGGGTTCGGATTAAGCAAGACACATTAGAATAAGGTATTTTGATGCCATTAAGTATTACCTACTGTATGCTAAACCTTGTTTTGGTTGTATTACAGAGTCATTTTCCCTCTCTACTCAGCTCTGATTTATGTTTCTTTCCTGGCTAGTTCACTCTTTATATTTAGCTGCATATAATGCTGTCAAAATCTTCCCAAGAAGGCTTTACTAGATGGCAGAGTTTTGACCAGACTGTGTGATGACATGTTGGAAAATGTAATCAGCTTTACCTGTTCTGTAGTGCCCTGATAGCACACCAGAGCACCCTCTCTCCCCCACCACCAGCATTGCAGTAGGGGTGAAAGAAAGCGACCGTGGGACGGCCGTCCCTCGCCCGCCGAGCGTTCCTGCTGCTTTGAAGCCAGAAACGCACCGCCAGCACCAGCAGGACCAGGACAGCGATCAGCAGCACACACAGGAACAGCAGGGGCAGCAGCAACTTCCACAGCAGCCTGAAACACAGAGATACAACTCACTGAATTATACTGTAAGTGACAAAAAAAAAATCAAGCTAACTTTATTTAAATCGCACTTTTCAATATACACATTACAAAGTGCTTTACAAGACGGAGATAAAAGAGAGACAGAAGTTATAAAAGCAAACAGAATTAAGTGCACAAACCACAAAAGATGTAGCCCAAGAGAAAGCTGAAGAAAAAACTTTGACCCTAACGTGCATTTAAAAGACAAATTGCAAACACCTTCAGTGTAAACAAGCTGTAGGAGTGTTATAAGGACAATGCAGTGAAATAGAGGATAAATACTAGTTAACTAAAGTTAACTGTAAGTTAACGTTATACGAGTACATAATTCATGAATAAAGTCATAATAAACTGAAGTCTACAGGAATATAACATGTTGCGGAACATACAGACAGACACTGTACGGATATCCTGTAGGTGATGAAGAGGCGCGGCTTTAGCTCACTGTGAAGAGCTTGGTTTGCATTATAACGTTACAACAAACAGGAAAACCTCCATATAATATATCTAAAGACTAACCTTACAACATAATAATTAGCTCAGTTATATTACCAATATTTACCAGTAATGCCACAAGTTAATACATAAGGAAATGAAACAAGCAAACTGATGTCACGAAATGAAAGTGACCATTAAAATTTTACCCACTGGTGTAAATACTTGGTTTGACACCTAATAAATAGCTCTTACCTTGTTAATTCACACAAACAGAGGACCAGTTGATCGTGGCCCGACATCTTGCCAAGAAATTTAACAACATATCCCCTTTTTCACGTTGTCACTTTCCTCCTCTGCGTCTGTTATTTGTATTTATCTGTCGCCACCTGCCGGCGAGGAGGTATTACTCCACTGACCTTTCTAGCTTGCATTGATGAAGTTTAATTGTAAAGCGTACATTACTTCAGATATGTGTGAATTAAACAAAGTTTTAGACGAAGTTGTTGAAAATGTAGCACCAGCAACATACTGCCCTGCTCCCTCTCAGCTCATGATGGCTGAACTATGTCCTTGTTCTTTCAAAAAAAAAGTAATGTTTAACTTCTAAATAAACAGTGTTTTAATCAATAAAGCCTTGCAACTACCCCTGGGATTTGAAAAACCTCTCTCATTTCCAATCTGGATCCTGACATCATGAAAACTCTTTTAGTTTTGTTTGTTGTAATGAATTTGGACAAACTCCCGAAGACAGGACACTGCATAGAAACGCGGTGAGTTGATTTGGTGACATTGTCTAGGAAATGTATTCATTTGTTATCTGGGAAAGGGCTGGTAACTGTTCTCCATAAAGAAAATAGCTTATGACACACCTATGCAAACACGCACCCTTACCATGTATGTTGTGGCAGCTGAACACAAATGCAAACTCAGTGAGTTTCTTAAAGCTCACACACTTTTAATAAAACATCTGGAAGTCATACACCTCACATTTGCTTTCTGGCATGGTCAATTATACAGGTAGAAACATAGACATGTTAAAGATTGGCCCTAAGAGGTCGGCATAGTTCATGGCGGACATTACATATTTTTGATGTCTTTTTTTTTATTTTTGTTATTTTTTTTATTCAGTGATCAAATTCTATCAATCACCCCTAAAACACCAGAACAAGTGGACATCTTGAAGGATGCGTCCACTCAATATAAGGTAGAGAGTAGATTTTTCTTTGAGTGATTATTCCATTTTATTTTCTTCCTGTGAATCGTTGTCTGATATGTTTTCTTCCAGACAGCCTTATGGCAGCCTGTTTCACCTCAGTACATCAGAGAAGAAACTCAGGTCCACCTGTTTGTTCCTGCAAACAGCTCCAAGACTGTCATTGATCTGCTACAGAAACACGCCATGACACATGAGTATGTTGTAAATATACATGCATTACTCACAAAGCTTTGCATCATACTCCATGCCACATTGTGCACTTTGTGTGGTTGTTATTTTCTTGTATGTTTAATTTAGGGTGCTACTGGCCAATGCCAACGAGTTGATTGAAATGCAGACAAGGAACACCTCCAATGACCCACGAAGCAGCGCAACTTTCTACGAGAGATATCACAATCTGGAGGATGTATGCTTTTCACCTTTACCTAGAGACTCCAGCTTCATTAGAGAGAGAGAGAGTCTAAATGTGCTGCACTTAATGGATATATTACCGTATACATACAAACACATTGTCTCTCCATTGTAGATCTTTTATTGGATAAACAGGACCCAACAGCACAACCCCAGCACGGTCAAAGCCATTCTCATTGGCTCCTCACATGAAAAGAGACCCCTCTATGTTCTGAAGGTATACTCATCCATCACCTAATCAGCTGATAAAGATGCTTGTTGATCATTTTAACTTTTATTTCTGCTTACATTCAGCTCAAATTAATTGTTTCTTTCCGTTAGAAGGATTTTTAGTTGAAGCCTCTAAATGAAGTCCATCAAAGCCACCTCAGATTAATGTTGGACCTCTCCTCCTCAGTTGTCTCTAAACAACAGACCAAATAAGAAGGCCATGTGGATTGACTGTGGGATCCATGCCAGAGAGTGGATCAGTCCTGCTTTCTGCTTATGGTTTGTAAAACATGTGAGTACATTGTTCTAGTATCAATAGGGTGGAAATGTGTTGAGGGAACATTCAGCATTAAGGTTGGTTTCACAGTGGTCTAGCGCTAAAATCAGCGTCCTTTCTCCAACAGTCTTTGTCATTTTACAATATAAACCAAGACATTACTCGCATCCTGGACAACATGGATGTCTACGTCCTGCCGGTTATGAACCCTGATGGATACGAGTACACATGGACGACAGTGAGAATACACAAAACAATTTTGTATATTGTTGAGTGCAGTCGTAAAGAAAGCGGTTTTATCTAGATTCATGATCTGGCCCTGTGTTTTTCTTGTCTCAGAACAGGATGTGGAGGAAGAACCGCTCTGTCAGCAAGGACAGCAGCTGCATCGGTGTTGACCTCAACAGAAATTTTGATGCCAACTGGTGCAGTGAGTCTTCTCTCTCTCTCTCTCTCTCTCTCTAACACTCACTGTCCTGTAATGCAGGATTATTTCAAGTGTAGACTTTAATTTCAATCCTCTGAGAACATGCGCGTTAAAGAAGACATTTGACTTTTAGTATAGTATACATTTTCATTGATCTGTGCAAGTAATGGTAAATTTATCATTTACAAAAATAACTTGAATCAAATTAAACCTATCCTCAACTGTTCTGGTAAGTGCTGTCTTACTTGCATTTAAAAAATATAATTCCGTAATCTCATTGATTTCTTTTCACTATTAAGTAGCCTACTTTAATAAACTGGACAGCCAGTGGTTGATATTTAATGTCCACGTACAATAATATGCCTATACAATATATGTATTTAGCATAATAGCAGTTCTATTAAATCGAAATTACAATCACAATTGTTATGGAAATATAGTGAGCCAGGTTCAGGTGTGATGAAGAATTTATAGAGACTGAAGACTTACACAGCATGGCTTAAAGAGTCTCGGTTGAGGAGATACACTCCCGCGTACAACGTGCACACATGCAATGCCAACACCAAATCTGAAGGAAAGCTCCTGGTCCACAATGTGCTATCCCAAACTGTCTTTGTTTCCATACTAGGTCATCTTTTAACTAGCCTGAACCAGAAAAGTCAATGTGCCTGATGTTTAGACTCCAATTCATAATCTAAGTCATGTTGAAATCTAAAAGGTTCCCAGAGAACACCGATATCTGCTAGCCTGATACCTGAACTACAGTCTCTATCTTATCGGGCCAGCTGTCGTCACCCTAACAATGAGTGAGACAGAGGCAAAGAACTAGGGCTGGAAGGGTCTGTTAATGACCTGTGGGCCTACATAAGTCATACCTCACTTGTTACCTGACCTAAGCCCACTAAGAAATTTCCCCCGACAGCAATTGGGCTAGATCTGTATGACACTCCTGCAGTCCTAACACAAAGTAGCCACACAGAAGGTCTCCCTTACTCTCTCCCCTGTAGAGGCATGAGTCAGAGTAAAACAGAGCTGTCTGCTGTGCTCACTTGTTATTTTATCAAATAAACAAATCTTTGTGAACCTCCAGAAGGTGAACAACAGACCATATGTGTCTCAAGTTATAAGACGTTCTTTCTAAACACAAATGTGGCATTTTAAATGGGAAAACTATGATCCATATTCAACAGTCTGTTCATGAATAGACAAAAGTTAAGTATGATGTTGTAGAGGTACAATAGAGTGGGGAGGTAGGTTGACCCTGTCGTCATAAGACCTCCTCTGAGCAGGGAAAACATGCTCCAAATTTGCTTATTTATCAGCCAAAAAACTGTAGTGGTTTAAATTAAATTCAAGGGCATATAATTTAGTAGGAACATGTCCCTACCAATATACTACTGAATTGTCTATAACAATAATTTTGATCAATACAATAAAATATAGTGTTAACACACTGAACTCTTTCTTCTGTTCATTAATTGATCATTTATAAGAGCCTCCGTAGCATCTATAAGGTAAAGGGATACTGTCTCTTCCAGCGGAAGGAGCCTCTAGTGACCCCTGCACTGAGATCTACTGCGGGGCGTTCCCGGAGTCGGAGCCAGAGTCGCGGGCTGTGGCCGAGTTCCTGCGCAGTCATAAGGACTCAATCCAGCTCTACCTCAGCATCCACTCCTACTCTCAAATGCTGCTCTTCCCGTTCTCCTGCAGCTTACAGGAAGCAGAGAACCACAAAGACCTGGTGAGTGGTTGGGTCAGTGGCTGATCAATCAAACACTCAAGCTAAGTGCTTGCCTATTTATCTATCAGCTCCAGAGTATTTGAAGACTTTTACTTGACTATAAACTGCGTATTTTTTTTTTTTTTTTATAGCTTGAGATGGTCAAAGAAGCTTCCCAGAAAATCAAAAGATATTATCAAAATAACTACAAATATGGTGCTGGAGCAAAGACAATATGTAAGTAGGACTTATTTTTAAAGCCAAATAAGCTTGACTTGATGCAGACACTCACACATCTACACATGCATTGTCTGTTCTCCAGACTTAGCGCCTGGTGGTTCTGATGACTGGGCGTACTACCTTGGCATCAAGTACGCTTTCACATTTGAGCTCCAGGACCTTGGGCGTTACGGTTTCCTCCTGCCACCATCTCACATTCCCAAGGCCTGCAATGAAGCTCTGATTGCTGTGAAGACTGTTGCTCTCAAGGTTATAGAGAAAACACAAGCTCCAACAAGTCATCCTCTAACAGTTTATTAAGCCATTTTTGTGAATGTGAATCATGCACAATGTTAAACATATTCTGATTGTTATTCAAGGTATTTTTGATGCATTCCTCCAATGGGTGTCTATTTTGAGGACATATTTAAATAAATAAAAAAGATTGAAGTGATTGAAGTAACAGATTAAGTGTTTGTCTTTCTTTCTGTTTAGTATTACTTACTGACCACATATGGTATTAGTATGCCACACTTAGGTGAAGTCATCATGCATATATCACACAGATATTAACGGTTGTCATTATTCTCTGGGATAAATTAAGGTTATAGTCATCTTATTGATTGTGTTAATAGGCCTAATCAATTTTACTTGTCCAAACAACGTGAACGAGAAAATAATGTTAAACAATATCTAAAAAAAATGTGCGTGAATGTTTTGTCCACTCCCGTGTCCAAACATACACTGGACAGAATATTATTAGAGACATTTCTCTCAACTTGTGAAGTTTTATTTTGTAGGAGTTCCTCGGAAGTTGCTGTACCCTATCGTATCTTCCTTCTATTGGGCTACTACTGTCAGAATAATCATTATAATAATCAGCAAGTGCCAGTCAATATTAATTACTATGAATACCATAATTAACATCCATATTGGTAGTAACTGAGTTACAACTGTTGCAACTCAGCTGCCAGGCTTTTAACCAGAACAAAGAAATATAACCACATTACTCCTATTTTAGCTTCATTACACTGGCTCCCAGTATGTTTTAGAATTGACTTTAAAATTCTATTGATCACTTTTAAAGCTCTTCATGGCCTCTCGCCTTGTTATATTTCTGACCTTTTAGTCCCATACACACCAGCACGTACCTTGAGATCCTCGGGCAGAGGTCTGTTGTCTGTTCCAGAGTCTCGACTGAAAACTAAAGGGGACAGAAAGTTTGCTGTCAGGGCCCCGAGGCTCTGGAACAGCCTGCCTGAAGAAATCAGGTCGGCTGAGTCAGTGAACTCTTTTAAGTCCCTTCTTAAAACATACTTTTGTAGGAGAGCCTTTCCCGATCTTATTTGACTTTATTTTATCCCTTTTATTTTATTCTATTTTACTAATTTTATATTAATTTTTCATGCTCTTATCTTGTTTTTTTTTTGTATTATTCTTTACACTTGTTAAAGCACTTTGTAACTTGTTTTTGAAAATTGCTCTACAAATAAGGATCATTATTATTATTATTATTTGTGTCGGTCGGTTATTTTGTAGGAGTTGCCCAGAAAACGGTGCATTCTATTGTATCTGCCTTGACGCTTAGATTTTGATAATTTGTTTCCCCTTACTTTTTTAATCACAAACAGACTAACAAGCAGTGAATAATAACAACAACAAAAAAAGACACATGCCTTTGTTGTGAGAGACCTGGGTTCAATTTCCCACTGTGACCCATCCACCATTGTGTCCCGGAGCAAGACACTTAATGTCACGAGGCCCCGGCTGTGAGCCTGTGATTGTTATGGATGTCTGTCTGGTGTGCGTGTGGTGAGCGTGTCGTTTGTTTGTCTCTGCTTGGCTCTTCCTCTCTCGCTCCAGTCTGGGAGCTGGGGGCGTGTCTGCTGCGGGCTCCGCACTCACCTGAGTCCCATCTGCAATCAGCACACCTGACCTGCACTCACCGCTGCTTAAAGGAGAGGCCCCGCCGGATCGTTTGATCGCCACGCGTATGTCCTGTCAACTCCAGCCAACCTTTGACTAGCCTAGAACCTTAGGAATTGTTGCATCTGGTTAACCTTTGTTTCTCTGTCTCTCCCAGAAGACTCCCACCGCCTCAGCAACCACCCGCCTGTTAGCCTCGGTTCCGCCCGCAGCCTGGACACTCCCAGCTCACGGATTTCCCTACACCCCGGACCTGGAGAGAGCCCTAGCCCCGAGATCTCAGACTTCCCTTGCTGAGTCTCTTTGAATAAACTGTCTAACTCTGATCCGCGTTTGGGTATTCTCTGCCTGAAACCTGACACTTAACCCCTAGTTGCTCCAGAGGCGTGCGACCACTGACATATACAGCAATTGTAAGTCGCTTTGGTTAAAAGCGTCAGCTAAATACGTAAATGTAATTTGCTAATCATTAACGAGGTTTTAATAGCTTTTTTTGTTTGATATTTTAGAGACTGGGTCAAAGAGATATTGTAATTCAATACAAAATAGATGGAAAGAGGGAGTGTTTTGAAGCGATCTAGCCTTATGGATGTGAAATTCACCAACAAGACATAGTAGTTTTACAGCGTTATCAATGGGTTGTGAGTCAGTGTTGCACTTTAGGAACAAGACCATTTCTTGTAATATGGGTATTAACGTTTTAAAGCGCCGAAAAATCAACAAAGCAACTTGTATCCAGAATTCCAGAAGAGAATAAGTACAATTAAAGAAAATATGACTAATAGCTTCTAGATTACAGAAAGTACATAAAGGAGAAATCTGTTTTAAATTTAACTGTTTATTACAGGGATAGTATCCATGCAAAATGTTCATATGGACTTATTTTCTTTTATTTGGAATGAGGAATTTGTTAGAATCTGACCAGATATCCTCTGCCAAGAGTTCCGGGAAGTTTAATTTCCATAAGCGAACCGATTTGGGAAAGTTCCTATGACCAGAGGTCAGAAGGCTACTCTTCTGATATGACGATTATTACACATATGATTAAAAATATCTTTCCCACCAAGTGAGAGCTTGGGGATCTCTCCCTTCAAATATAGCAATGCACTTTTAAGTAGCCTAAGAATAGTAACTTTGGAGATATGCTTTTTAAAACATTATGATATTCTTTTCGCGAAGTATCCAAACCCTTGTTGCGGACAAAATCCTCATATTAACAAAATTCGCTCATTATTTAATCATTAAGTACGTCTAGAATAAATATAACACCCTTATCGATCCACTCTTATGTACCTGGACTTGTTTCTAAATAACACATGTTGGTTGTTCCATAATATGCATGAATGTGGAGAGAAGTTGTGTTTAAAAGCCATTCTCCACACTTCAAGAGCTTGTTTATGGAAGTCGGAGAGCTTGAGGGGAAGTTTGGTACATTAATAATTACAGGATAATAATAATAATGACTTTATTCAGGACTCAGAATGGAAGGTCCATAGCACACAGAAAAAAACAAGACAAAACAACAACAGCTACAACATAACAATAAATATACAGTACATAGATAAAAAATAATTTAAAAAGTCAATATCTTTCACTTGTAATATACAAACAGGAGCGCCAATGTCTCCACAGTCTAGATGTATACCTGACCGACCTAAAATTATTGTGGGTTAAAGCTTATATAATTCTATTTTCAGAGACAGACATTCTGCACATGTATCGAAAAATAAGATTTCTTATTAAGGCAGAGCATGTAGGCACCCCAACATTAACAAACATTTGACTAGCACTACACCATCTTGGTTGTTTTAAGAGCAGTCTCATGCCATCATTATACGCTACATTCAGCCTTTGCATGTTCTTTTTGCTGCAAGACCGCCACAAGTGGGCAGTATATAGCAGTGTACAGAATGCTTTGAATAAGGCTACCTTAACATAAGCAGAACACATGCCAAATTTACGTGCAAGCACATTAGCCTGAACATATATCTTGCGACACTGTCTATTGATGTCCTTATCATCCGATAAATCATTTACAATATGATGGCCAAGATATTTAATTTCATCACACACTTTAAGGGCAGTACCAGATAAAAAGAAATCAGGGAATACTAAATTTCCTGTTTTCTTTACTTCTAACAATCATGATATTGCTCTTACTTGCATTATATTTGATATCAAAATCTGAACCGTACTGAGAGCAAACCTTCAACAGTTGTTGTAACCCAGCACTAGATGGGCAAATTATTACCAAATCATCTGCATACATAAGGTGATTAGTGAGAGTATTGCCTATCATACATCCTTTATTACATTTATTTAATTGTTGTGACAAGTCATCCATATACACGTTGAAAGGGAAAGGTGACAAAATACCACCCTGCCGAACACCATTACCAACAGTAAATGGTTCTGACACAGAGCCCCCCCATTTCATAATATAAATTTTAGACAACCACACTTATCAAATAACAGATTAGGAAATAAAACCACTGACAACTGCCTTTAGACAAACACTGCTTAATCCAATTAATCTTGAAAATCTGGTTTATAGTTTGAAAGTCTAATGTATTAAAGCCTCCTTCAGAGTAATCTTCTAAATGTAGTTTGATCATGATCACCGTGAATTGTACTGCCCTGTAGTGGTGACTAAGAGTAACTGCACTATATTTAATATGTTTCCATGATAGACAGTGGGTTAAGTTAACCAGGTCCCTCAGAGAAACAAGTTTATCGGGTGGTTAGTCCGAGGACGCATTTATATGCTCTGTAGTAACTATAACCAACCCCTCTTCCCCCTGCAATATCAAGGCAGACACAATAGCTAAAACACTTCCGGTGAGAACTTTCAAAATAAGACCTAGCTAGCATACAAGCTTTCAAACAATCAACGAATACTGATCACTAATATTACAGCCAAAACGACTTAATTAGTCAAATTAATGAAAGGATTTGAAAGACATTTTTCGAGGAGACAGCTGTCGTCCACAACGGAGCAGTGCGAAAAGCACTGAAAAATAAAAGCGGAAAGAACCCCGGAGGACAAACTGCCTCTACAAACCACAGAAGAAGAAGAAGACCCTCCGCCAATATGAAGGCACCCGGGGCAGCTTCTGCCTTTGATTTTAAAGAATAAGCCGTGTTATGTCTACTGGTGCTGAATCCACTAACTCGACTAAAGTAGATGCGACACCGAATTAATATCTTGGGTGAGACGGCTTTTCTTTTCCACTCGGTGTTTAGCAGGCACGCTGCTGAAGGTGGCTACAAGGCCTCGCGCTGAGATAAAACATGAAGTCATTAGCTCTTTGGTTAACTAACTTTAGCATTAGCCTCCGTTCGCTTTGCACAACAGTTAACGTCAGTCTCTAACATACCGAACAACTGCATCTCACATACACGTATAAGGACGTATGGCACTTAAAACAATAGCATTGTAGTCGTGCAGTTGGCGAGGAACTTTAGCTAACCTTAAGCTAGCATGCACGACTGCTCGCTAGAAGTAACGTGAAGCGCAGAGCAGCTGCACAGACAACAACGGGCCGAGCCGTTTGCATGTGTTTATGTTTTGGATGTGCCGCTACCTATTGGAGAACTAAAACGACAAGGAGCCCAGTCTCTAAACGCCAATCTCCAAAACAGTTGCTAGATTAAAGTGATCTTCTTACTCTCAATTTAGGGTGCTAAAATGTGTGTAGCCCTGCACTCAGCATGAATGAATTCAGAACTGACGGTGTAGTCACACAGCAGAGAAAGTAAGGTGGACCACAGTTTCAGAAATATTGTTTTTAATGTCATTTGATCTGAACCGATTACTGTTTGAAACGTTCTCATTGTTCAGAAGCCGCAGCAAAGATGGCACACTGACTAATTCAATTAGTTAATTAACTCATTATATAAAGACTTTAAGTTTCTGATAAGTCTTACTGTGTGCGTGGTGTATAGTTGTATTGACATTTCACTAAGCATTGTTTGTGATATTTTCCAGTCCTGCAGAATGTCCAAGATCAGGCGGAAGGTAACAGTGGAGAATTCAAAAACCATATCTGATAGCAGCAGCAGCAGCAGCACCACGACCAGCAGCACCAGCAACCCCACTGCCCCCTCCCGCCGGCCCAGTGTGTTCGAAAGACTCGGCCCCAGCACTGGGAGTAATGCTGCTGATGTATGTATAACCTGCAGTCAAAGATCACGGCTGGCCACAAACCTGTGGTCCTGTTGCAGAGTTGTTAGAGATTCAGTACCATTTAGGGACCCATAAGCGGGAGCACCCTTTTTGCGGTCTGATAATATATTTTGTGTGTTATACTGAACTTGATACCCTCTTAGTATCCCTACTGCGATGGCTCATTTTAGTGGGCGGTGCTTTATCTAATCAGGCTCATTCGTTTGTGTTTTTCAGAGTCACTGTAGAAATTGGCTGAAGACCGGTAATTGCAGTTACGGCAACACTTGTCGCTACACACATGGAACTCAGCCACGAGGCAAAGGATTTAGCTTTAGTCGGTAAGATGGCTTGTTTTAGTTGCAATATAATTTAGCAATGAGAATTCGTATTTGATATATTAGGTATATGACTTTCAGGACCCACAATGCTGGTTTTATTGAGTTTCCTTTGTGTTTTTGTGGCCCTGTCTATGTCAAAACAAATGGTTTATCATCTCTAGCACCATATTGTTGACACATTACTTCTGTGTGTTTATGTATGTCTTTATGGAGCAGGTCAGCCGAGAGACCCACAGGTGATCTGCGGGAGAGGATGAAGAATAAAAGACAGGATGCTGACCCAGAAAACCTGAAGCGAGACGTAGACGAGCCCACATCCCCCACACCGAGAGTGAGTTGACATTGTAATAATCTATTGGCAAACGTGTAAATGGTGGCTAATTTATTTTTAAATAAATAAAAGGCCACCACGGACCCTGAATCAAAAGCTGTTTTTTACTTGGAATGTGAAAAAAACACAACCTTTATAAAATAAGAATAAGCACATGAAGCAATGCAACATGTGGGTGTCCTTCTAACATCTTTGTGTGTATCTGTCTACAGAAGAGAGACTCCTCCAGAAGCCGACACAGGGAAAAGGACGATATAAAGATCACAAAGGAGCGGACCCCAGCCAGTGAAGAAGAGCCCACAGAGTGGGAAACCAATCGTGAAGGTTCAAGAACTTGTTTTGTTCAAGTTTAAAGCACAAGTGACCGAATGATTTGTGAAAGTTATGATTTGAAATGAACTCATTAACATTAATATGGCTTTAACTTGACAGATTCTAAGAAATTTTCTTTAGAAGCTTATGTTTGTTTGTTTTTTTACTTTAAGACTC